TCCTTTCCCCAGCCCAAGCTCTCGGCAAGCCCAGCCTGGGAGTAAATGCTCCATCCCAGTGAGGGAGACAGGTCCCCATGACCCTTGTTTTGTTTTTAAAGAGACAAGAGGGTTCATTAGAGGTTAGATATGGGGTGCACTCAGGCTCGGAGTGCCATTGGTTGCTCAGAGAATTGAGGTATGCAGAGGGAGCCCTTTGAGAAGCCCATCTGATAATAAAGATGGATGCAGGACCCTTTGGGTCTAATCTCATGAGGCACAAAACACCCCAAAGAGCCCAAATCTGATGGAAATAATGTTTTGAGGGGGGTTGTTTTTATTTTTTTCTTGACTTTTTTGAGGCATGGTCTCATCATGTAGTTCATCCTGGCCTTAAACTCACTATGTAGCCCAGGCTGGCCTAGAACTCAACGGCAATCCTCCTGCCTCAGCTTCCTGAGTGTTGGGTTTACAGGCATGCACCACCATGTCTGACATAATTCACTATTACCAGGATTCTGAGGATTCCTCAGTCTGATGCAGGACACCCAGAATCCTCTGGAGAGACCTAGACTGTTGGAAGGGTACAGCATTACCTGAGGACAGGTCACCTTGCCCTCCAGAGAAACAGAATATGCTGGAAAACCCCGATTACCTTTGAGGTACCTTAGTCTAATGGGAACAATACATACTTTGTGGGGTAGCCCCAGTCTGACAAGGGAAACACCATATTTGTGGGATTCTGCATTTCTTCCCACCTCCTAGAAACTGCTTGAGGTCATCCAGGGACCTCCTTCCAGAAAACTGAAGACACCGCAGCCTGTTCCGTGCCTGTCAGTGGCCTCCCACTGCATCTTTTAAAAAACACATGGTCTTTCTATGTAGTTCCCGCTGGCCTTGAACTCACAGCTAACCACCCTGCCTCCACCCCTTGACCTCTGTGCAGCGGTCAGGTGGGCCTGTTTAGCAGCCTGTCCCGAAGCGGTGTCCATAATGAACACCCTGGGCCCCAGAGCCAGCCCACCAGCGCAGCTCGAAGCAAGCCCCTGTCCTCAGCACAGTGCCACTTTTGGGGACCCACGTGTGGCTGGTTGGAATATAACAGAACCTTCGGAAGGGACCCAGCTGGGGTTCAGGGACTGGGTTCCGGGAGCCCTAGATCAGAGCCAGCCGAGCTGGCAGGAGTGCACTGGACCTTTAGGAGTGTGGGAGAGAGCCAAGGAGTAGGCCAGGGTCAGGCTGGGGGTCGGGGGATAGAAGTGATTAAGCTTCTAGGAGCCAGGAACCGGACAGAGCAAGGTTGAGACTCAGACTTCGAGGGGCGGGTTTGGTGGTGGTGGTTTGCACGAGAGGGCAGGGCCGGAGTGGAGCCCCGAGCAAAGGCCCAGGCGAATGGGTCTGGCCGGGGCAGCTGAGGGCCCGGCAGAGCCTACGCAGGGGCGGGCTCGCGGTTCTGCTGGGAGTGTGGAAGGGGGCGCTGCGGCCGAGGCATTGTCATCCACCTAGCGAGGGTAACGGGCACAAGCTGAAATCCGGCTTCACCGCCCAGCCGCCGTACATTGTTCTGCGCGCAGGGAGGAGCGAAGCCTAGGTCTAGGGGACCCAATGAGTGCCTGTCCTTGTGCCCCTTCCAGACTCCAGGCGCCTCCTCATCCCCAACCCTGGTGACCGCGCCCGCCTCCGCGCTTGCAGTAGCGTCCTGGCGGGTGGAAGTGCCAGGCGTTACCCAATCTCAGGCTCTTGGGGCGGTGGGAGAACGGAAGGGAGGTGATGACAGATTCCAGGGAGGGCAGTGCCTGGGAAAAGAAGCTAGGGACTGTGGGAAAGGTGGAATTGTTTCACTCGTGCCGACCCCAGCCCCTCCTCTCCATGTACCCCAGGCCACCCGTGGAGCCCCCTGCCAGTGAGCTGTGTCCTGGGATGACACTACGTGTGGAGCCCCTGTGCACGGCAGCCCCTTTTTACTCCACTCCATTCAGGGTAAGCGTAGCTTGCGGACCTCGAGGGTGTCCCCCGCAAACCTCGACGGAGTGGACAATGTCCAGCGCGGCTTCCGCGCACTCTGTCTTCAGCCGCAGCACCCTGCAGTCCTCACAGAGCAGCGTGATGGTGCCCAAGCCCCGGCGACCGTAGGCATGGACAGGTTGGGGCTCAGGGTTCCCCGACGCCCACAAAGGAGGCTTAAAGAGTTCCGCAATTGGACGTCGCGCGGGAGGGCACCAGCTGCGGCTGCGCGGACCCATCCCCGTCCGCCGAATCCAGGACGCCCAGCCTCTTTCGTCCAGCAGCAGCAGCAGCAGGTGGTGCGGGTGACGCATAGTGTGCCGCACAGCTCTGCGGCACAGCGGGGCCCCTCCCGACCCGGTCCAGATCAGCTCCGAAAACCATTCTGCCAGCGGGGGCGCTGGGGCCCAGATGGACAGACTCTGGTAGCCCCTGGCAGGGCAAGTGGGGCTCCAGAAGCGACAGGAACTGACTAGGCAGCTGGTGAGGCCGCGGGACAGCAGTTAAGGAGCTTCCTCCGAGGACGGGATCACACAGTTTCTCAGGGACTTTCTGTCCCAAGTGTGTTTTTTTTTTTGTTTTTTTTGTTTTTTCTTTGTTTTTTCTTTTTTTCCCCAAGTGTGTTAAAAGAAAACAATTTCAACATCTGTCAAATGGGGAGCATAATTGTGCCTAAACCCGTTAAACCTTTGTTTGTGTCTCAAGAGGCACTTGGTACTTTTTGGTTTCTTAAACACTGGGTTTCTGTGACTCGGAATGAAAAAATAACCATTTCTTCCCCTGCACCCCGGTTGGAGGGGCTGGAAAAGTGTAGGTGTGAAACTAGGAACTGCCTGTTTACTCCTATACATCTGAGGGTTGGGTGGGAGAAATCCCTGGTCCACCTTAAATACAAACAGCTGTACAACTGGCGCCCCTCCCCACTCCCCTGCTGGAACTCCCCGGGCAGCCGGAGGGCGCCCTCTACCTGGTTCAGTTCTGCCCATCCTTTTACCAGGTTTGTATTGCCTGTATGATGAGCATGTCACATGTTTGGCTTCTGTTTGGGGGGGGCTTTTTTTTTTTTTTTGAAACAGGGTCTCGCTGTGCAGTTCATGCTGGCCATGAGCTCACTTTGTAGGCCAGGCTGGTCTTGAACTCACAAGGATGCTCCTGCCTCAGCCTCCTGAGTGCTGGGATTACAGGCATGCACCACCACATCTGGTGAGGCCACATGTTTGGTACTGGGACCAGGGATGATTTTTTGACTTATTGATTGATTGATTGATTGATTGATCTTTTTGAGACAGGGTTTCACTATGCAGTTCAGGCTGGTCTTGAACTCACTTTGTAACCCAGGCTGGCCTTGAACTTGCAGAAATCCTCCTGCCTCAGCCTCCCGAGTATTGAGAATATAGGTGTGTGCCATACACCTGGCTTCAATACAAAGTTTTGTTTGTTTGTTTGTTTGTCTTTTTGACAACTGCACAGGGTCTCGCTGTGCAGTTCAGGCCAGCCGTGAGCTTAATTTGTAGTCCAGGCTGGTCTCGAACTCACAAAGATCCTCCTGCCTCGGCCTCCTGAGTGCTGGGATTACAGGCATGCACCACCATGCCCAGCTCAATACAAAGTTTTAAAAAGGGAAAATGCTCTGGCTGAAAACCTAGGAGGAGCAGGGAGAAAGAGGGCTAGGAGTCCACCCTAGGAGTCCACTCTGCCCTTCCACTATAGGCGGGTCGCCTGCCCTTGAGGCATTTCCAGAGGAACCTAAGGCTCCTTAAAGTACAGCTTGAACCATTGATCTGACCCAGCAGAGAGGGTCAGAGCGTTTTAGTGCCTTTCCCCAAGTCCCACTGAGCCTGCACTGGAGCCCAGGTCTCTTGACTCCCAGGCCAGGCCTCTGGACTCTATTCCTTTGTTGAGGGCCCAGTGCCAGGACTGAGACAGGCAGCTAGTCGGTCTCCTCCCCTCCCGACTCCCTGAACCTGGTCTTGGGAGCAGGGCCAACACTGGTGGGGATGACGCTCTTCTTATCCTGGAGCAACTTCCTTTCTGGGAACTGGGAGTCTCTTTCTGGGCAAAGACAATTCATCCCAGCAAGAAGAGCAGGGTTCCTCCTGCCCCACCCGGATGGGCATCACGTGGCTCCCAACGAGCAGCCCAGGAAAATCCCAGCCCCTGCACACTTCGCCTCATGTGCGCATCTGCTCGCCCACGCTGGCACTCGGCCTCCCTGGCCCACCTTGGACATCCACCGTTGCACCCTCCCTCGCACACTCTTTCTCCTCTCGGCTTCCGCCACTTCTCCCTGGGCCATATTGCCGGCCATTCGCTCATCTCAGAGTAGCGACCGGCCCTGTCCCTCACCTCAAACCCACCATGTCCCTGGGGCCACTGAAATTCCAGGCCGTGGGTGAGGGGGACGAAGAGAACGAGGAGGAGGAGAGCTTGGACTCCGTGAAGGCACTGACGGCCAAGCTACAGCTGCAGACGCGGCGGCCCTCGTATCTGGAGTGGATGGCCAGGGTTCAAAGCCAGGCCTGGCGCAAGGCCCAAGCCGGACCTGGCCCCGGGGGACCTGGGGCCATCTGTGGCTTCGACTCAATCGATGCTGCGCTTGAGTGGCTCCGGCGGGAACTGGTGAGTCTGGTGGGGTGGCCAGCCTTGCACAGACCATGGACGTGGGCAGGGGATGGAAATGGGAAAAAAAACAAAACAGCAACTGCCACACCGGTGCCCTGGGGGGAGGAGTGGGGCATGCACTTGTCCAGTGTGCCGCTGGGAAGCGCTGGTGAAGGATTTCAGAGTCTACTAACTCTGTGCCCCTGTGACTTGGGGATCAGAGCCCTGCCTTGGGGGACCACCAGCTACAAGTAGGGGAAGACATCGTCCCCGCTGCTCTGGGGATCCGTGTCCTCCAGGGATACAGTAAGGCACAAAAGGAGGCACCGAGCATGCTGGAGGCTGTCTAGAAGGAGAGTGCTGTGTTACCTGTCAACCTGACGTGTCCAAATATACAGGTAGCCAGGCTCCAACTTGAGATTCTGCTTTGGTGATCTGGGATGGGGCCCCAGCATCTGCATTCGCTCACTGACAGTTCCTTAGCCTGTTTTGAGAACCACCGGTGTGGAGCAAGATCTGAGAGATAAGCGAGGTGAAGGCGGGGGAGGGGGGCTGGGGACACAGCCGGTGCAAAGGCCCGGAGCACTGACAGGAAGGAAAGACTGGCCTGTGAGTCTGGGGCCCGCCCAGCAGGCTCATGGCCCCTCTTGGCTGCAGCAGGAGATGCAGGCTCAGGACCGGCAGCTGGCAGGGCAGCTGCTGAAGCTGCGAGCCCAGCTGCACCGACTGAAGGTGGACCAAGCCTGTCACCTGCACCAGGAGCTGCTGGATGAGGCCGAGCTGGAGCTGGAGCTGGAGCCTGGGGCCGGCCTGGCCCTGGCCCCCCTGCTGCGGCACCTTGGCCTCACACGCATGAACATCAGTGCCCGGCGCTTTACCCTCTGCTGAGGGCCACCTGTGCTCCCAGGCCACCTGGCAAGAGGGGAGGCAAGGTGTCTCAGAGGCACACTCACATCTCTGAGGGGTAAACTGAAAGTTCACAAAACCCCAGCTGGTAAGGGCTTGGAAGGGGAAAAGCTTAGGTGCCCAAGCTCCTCAATAAACACCTTATACAATCCTAAGGTCTCTGCGTTGTTATTAAGGCCTAAGGTCAGTGTCTGTCTGTCCTCTATGGCTGGGACCTGGGACTCCCGTGTAGGAGAGAGAGCCCCGCTGCGGGTAGAGATAGCTGATAGAGCCCCATTCCTGACAGCTCCAGCTCTACTCTCCACCTCCTCAAGGTCAGAAGTGGGAAAGAGCTAAGTGTGCTAGCACACACCTGTAATCCCAGCACTCAGGAGGCTGAGGCAGGAGGATCGCTGCAAGTTTGAGGACAGCCTGAACTGTGTAGTGAGACCCTGTTTCAAAAAGACAAAAAAAAAAAAAAAAGAATTTAAAATCTTAACTCACTCCAACTCCCACAGGAGGTTGTTTAGATAAATTGGGTGGCTAAAAATGCAGAACTGGGAGTGCTAGGTTTTAAGGCAGCCCCCTCCATTTGTTCCCATTAGACACTGGAGAGGTCCCTTAATCCCTGAGGTCTCCTTGCCTCTAGAATGGAGGTGCTGATGCTCACCCCGCAGCTAGCTGAGTATGTCTTAAGTGAGATAGTATAGGGCAGGCACCCAGTAAATGCGGGTATTTCTTACGGTTGCCCTCACCAGCAGTCCCAGTATGCCTGTGCTAAGGCCCACACATGGACTACGAGGTGCTGACAGGCAAGGGTAGCTGGCTCTGCACCAGGCCTTGGCCCCAGCTCTCTGTCACTCTGAAGCCTTTTTGTTTTGTGTTTCTTAGCCTTTGTTTCTGTGTTACTCTCTTTGTCTGACTTTCCAACTCGGGCTTCCTCTCCCCCCACCCGTTTCCTGTCCCCCCCCCACCCCCCCTGCAGTTGAGGTGTGCACAGCAGCAGCTCCCACCTCACAAACCCCAATAATGCTCTGTGGGTCCCCCTCCCCCGCCCGCCTGCTCTGTGAAGCTCAGGAGGTGACGTCCTTACGCCTTCCTTCCAGCAGGGTCAAGGCCCGGTTCTTGGGCCTGACAGAGCTCCCTGGAGCTCCTTATATCCCTGGGGACCTGGCCCTCCCCAGGAAATAGAGCTTCTTGCTCATGGCAAGCTTCTTGCCCCCTGCCTGTAACAGAAAGTCCTGACTGCTCGGCCTGCCCTGGTGCCTGGGCCGTGTGTCCCATTTGTCTTCTGTGGCAGGAGATGGTTCCAGGCCATGAGCCTCTACCCACCACTGTGGCCTTGCCTCGACCTGCATTGAAACTGCTGCCCCACTCCACACCGTGAGAAGTGTGATATTGTTTTGTCCTCTGCCTGCAGCAGAGCTGTCACTATGGCCTCTTGAGCACATGGGGTTGTCCTGAAACACACTGCTGCCAGAGGGCTGTTAGTCTATCCTCTGATTCTTTTCTGTGTGTTTGTTTTTTGAGACAGAGTCTCACTATGTAGTCTAGGCCAGCCTCAAACTCACAGTGATCCTACTGCCTCAGCCTCCGAAGTGCTAGGCCCACAATCTTATGCCACCACACCCAGCTACCCTGGGATGCTAATAAAGTTGTTGTCCTGTGCCCTGAGATGGCATGAGCATTGCTGTCGGCTGACTCCAGCAGCCGTTTTAAGTGCTTATCTGACTGAAATGCACCTGGTGTTCCCTTCACCGGTTCAGCAGAAATACCATCCTTACCTCTGACTTGGAATGATGTTACCTTTGCATGAAACCAAAGGGCCACTCAGCTTTCGCACTGTAACAGTGGTGCCACTTGCCTTCCACTGTGGACTGGGTGGGTGTCTGCTCACCCCCGCTCACTGAGGCCAGGGCCTGCCTTTGAATCTCTTGCCTAGGTGGACCCCAGAAAGCAGAAGGGAGGGTCCATGAAACATCCTTCTGGCATCTTTAAAACCTCAAATGCCACCCTTAGGGTGAGTAGGGTCCGGCTTGGAGATGTCTGGGACCCCCAGGGGCTGAGGGGCGAGGGGCCTACGGTGGCAGGAAGCTTGGGGTGCTAGAAGCTTGTGGTTGAGCTGCCGGGGCCCGGTTGGCTGCAGAGTCCTCAGGAGGAGGCAGGAAGTCGGGGTGGAACGTGGGCGCGGGGAGACAGGTGGTGGCTCCGACAGCAAGGGGAGCTGAGCCGTGTCTGCGCAGCCACGCCAGGCCGGGAGGACCATGTGAATGGGCCGGGGGCCTCTCAGGCTGGGCAGGTAAGGCATATGGGGAACTGGGCTCTAGGGCCATGATGGGAGCCCTGGCAGCAGAGGGCGACAGCTGGGTACAGGGCGCCAGGCTGCCCAGGGCAAGCAGCAGCGTCAGGCTGGGAGACAGAAGCACCTTGCTAAGGGTCAGCAGATCGCTGCTTTCCTGAAAAGCTGGTGGCTGCTGCCTCTGCCTCACTGTCTGCCCCTGGCCCCACCTCACCAGGAGCGTGCTTCTGGGGGTCTGGCACATGAATGTTAGATAGCAGAAAGGCCTTTGGAAATCACCAAGTTCGCGTCTCATCCCAGGATGACACGGCTCAGAGGGCAGAGCACTCCCTGCCTGCGGTCCCTCGGCCAGGGAGCGGCTCTGCGGTGCTGGGAGGGGCACGCCCTAGGCTGGGACCGCCTCCTCCGACAAAGGAGCAGGTGTGGTGGGCAAGTTGGAAGGAGGGGACTCAGGAATCAATCCGTCTGGTCCCTGGAGCAGATGAGAGACAGGGAGAAGACAGACAGACAGAGACAGAGACAGGTCACCAGAGCACCCGGATGGACATGTGAGAAGTGGCTCAGCCTCAGTGACCAGCATCACTTGAGAGACAGGTCGGCCGGGACGCGTGTGGCCACATCTGGGAGGGCAGGCGGAGGGCGCTGGCACGGAGACCTCAGGCCTCACACAGGCGACCTGACTCTGGGAAGCCTGAGGTGGAAGCTAGTGATGGGAGAAGGAAGAGGAAACACTATTTTTATCCCGGGCAGGGGTGCAGCTGATCCTGAGCAAGGAACTTCCGAACTTCCACCTGGAAAGCTGCCATCCCATCCCCGCCATGTGCCACAGCAGGATGTCCTTCCCTCTGCCCCTGTCCCCTCCTGCCCCCTCTCGTCCCCCGCTCCCCCACAGGAAGCTCAGTCAGTCCTGCCGATTCCTGCTTTAGACCCCAGGCCACAGAGGCCCAGGAAGGCATCGTCAGCTACTTCCCGCTCCCTCACACGCCAGCCCTGAGCCCTCCGTGCCGGGGGGCAGTCCCCAGCTCACCCAGACTTTCCAGGTTTCCCTGGCCTCGCTGGAGTTTTTTCATGTCACGTCATGTACTTTCCGCTGGGTCAGCACGTCCCAGCCTTTCTTGAGACAGGGTCTTGCCGAGTGACGGTTACTCAGGTTGGGCTCGGGTTGGCAATCCTCCCACCTCAGCCTCCTGGGTGCCGGGATGGCAGGCCTGTGCCGTCACGCCTGTCACTGCCATTTCTCTGAGTGGCTTTATAGTTCTAAACTTCAGTTTACTCACCCCTAAAGAAGCGACAATAAATCTCCCTCTTACAGAGCACTTTTGGAGAATCTAAGAGAAAATAACGACTGTGATGCGCCTGACACATAGTAGGCTCTTAAGGGAGGCTGGACACCTCCTCCCCCCGCACCCAAAGGAGGGCTGTCCACACCCAGAATCGCACCTTTTCAGCACCTTGACCTCGGCAAGGCAGCGGGCCGCCCATTCCTTCACGCTTGCGGTGTGGCTTTGCACATAGGCTTGCTTCCTGTATATAGCGGGGCGTGAGAACTCTGGCAGGCTAAATTCTGAGTTTTGAGCTGGGTGATTGGGTCTACATTAAAAGAGGGTCCCTCTGCCAGGCATGGTGGTGCACCCCCTTAATCCCAGCGTTTGGGAGGCTGAGGCAGGAAGGTCACTGCAGGTTCGAGGCCAGCCTGAACTACACAGAGAGATCCTATCTCAACAAAACAAAACAAAACACAGAAACATCATACCACAGCGATATATGTGCACCCATGTTTATAGCAGCACAATCTGTCATAGCTAAATCTTGGAAATAGCCCAAATGCCCATCAACTGAGGAACAGATAAAAAAGATGTGGTATTTTCATACAATGGAGTACTACTCAGCTATAAAGAAGGATAAACTTGAGACTTTTATAGGAAAGTGGATGCAACTACAGACCACACTATACTCATAAGTGAACGAAATCAGACCCACATGTGTAAACGTCATATTGTCTTCCTAGGGTAAGAAACTGAAAGAGTAAATAAAATCCAAAAGGTACACTAGATAGTGACAGGGAAAGAAACTGCTCAAAAGGAAAGAACAGCCAGGCATGGTGGCACATGCCTGTAATCCTAGCACCCGGGAGGCTGAGGCAGGAGGATCGTCTGAGACCAGCTCAGACTGCAAAGTGAGCTCAAGGCCAGCCTGAACTGCAGAGTGAGACCCTGTCTCAAAAAGACAAAAAGAAGGAAGGAAGGAAGGAAGGAAGGAAGGAAGGAAGGAAGGAAGGAAGGAAAGGAGGGAGGGAGGGAAGGAAGGAAAGAAAGAAAGAAAGAAAGAAAGAAAGAAAGAAAGAAAGAAAGAAAGAAAGAAAGAAAGAACAGCTGGGATGAGGGAAAGGAGAAAAGAAAGAAAGAAAGAAAAAGAAAGAAAGAAAGAAAGAAAGAAAGAAAGAAAGAAAGAAAGAAAGAAAGAAAAGAGGAAAATATATATGTATACACACACACAAAATAGCTAAGATAATTGTACTACTAATTTCTATTGGTTTAATGAAAGGAACAGTTAATGTTTAATTGCTTGATCAATTTTGCATGCCTATATATGGTAATCTGAACAACTGCTTTGAAGATAACAATATGTAATATAACAGCCATTGTTAATTTCCTATCATCTTGTTGTGACATTCTGTATTTTTATTGATTTTTAAAAATTCTCTTTAAAATTAAAAAAACAAATAGGATCCCTTTCATGGACACACACCGTCCTCTGAAACACCATGTGCATGATCACAGAGAAATGTGTGTGTGTTGGTCTGCTCAGAGCAGGCGCAGAGACCGCACAGAGACACAGCTGGATCCCACAATCCATACACACACCCTCAAGCTGATGGGTTCAAGGCCACCCTCAATTCATTGAAAACAATTCTGAGTGGAAGTGGATGGGGTGGAGGCAGGCAGGACCAACATAGCATCCAGGAGTGCAGCGGTCTTGTTGTTGTTGTTCAGGATCAAATCTGTGCCTTGTACCTGCTAAGTACATGCTTTAGCACTGAGTTTCGCCACCGGGCCAAGGGTGTGGGCTTTAAAACAACCCACCTCCGTGCAGATTGTAAAGATCTGGAGCGTTCGGGAGGCTGAGGCAAGAGGACTGCTGAAAGTTCAAGCCCAGCCTGGGCTACATGGTGACATGGTGAGTTCAGGACTAGCCTGAACTGCAGAAGAAGATCCTGTCTCAAAAAAACAAAGAAAAGTAAAGAAAAGAAAAAAAAAAGATCTGGAGCTGCATTTCTTTCTTTTTTTTTTTTTTTTCTTTTTCTTTTTCTTTGTTTTGTTTGGTACCAGGAATCGAACTCAGGGCCTCACACCTGCCAGGCAGCTGCTGTGCTGCTGACCTACATCACCAGCTGGGGCTGGATTTCCAATGCTTGCTCTAAAGAAAATGAGTTCTGTGAGGCATCTGAGAAGAAAAGGGCTCTGGGCCCAGTCAGCAGGGGCCTCAGCAACAACTCTGTCCCCCACGGGCTTCACAGTCAGTGCCAGCTTATTAAACTCTGCAAGAGCCTGATTCATTTTGTCTGAACCAGTGTTTCCCAAACTTCCTAGGCACAGACCTTTTCTTCTTGCACTGTCTCACGCCTGCCCTTGGGCCCCGGGAATGCAAGGGTGGGCGGGGTGGGGTGGGGGGCGCGAGATGTAGCTGATGCTGCTCTAGCTCACACTCAGAGGAGTGTGTCTCTTGGCAGTGTTTTTGTGTTGCTGGTTTTGTTGATTTTGTTTTTCCATTACAAAATTAGCGCATGGCTGCTTCTTTAAAACTCCAAACAGCACACAGGCATAGAAAGACATGCCAGAAACACAGCCCCCTCCAGTCCAGCTTCTGGGATGTGCTTCTGGAAAGGATTTGGTGTGTGTCCTTTCAGATTCTCCCATCTTTGCTGCTGAACCACAAAGAGGCTAAGAGCCAGGCCCCTGAAGGCAGACAGCCCAGGTTCAGCCCACGACTCCACCACTCATTTGTTTGTGATGAGGCCTCAGACAAATCATTTTGTGTAGGTTAAGCCTCAGTTTTTGCATCTGTAAGATGGGAGTAATAACAGTATTTACTTCTTAGGATTATTGTGAAAATTACGTGAAACGATGCAAATGAAGGCTTACCACCGGAGCCAGCTTTAAAGAATATACACATATTTGTGCACAAACTGGCTTATACAACACATTTTGTTCTGCAACTTATCTACCATGTTGAATCTACGATATCTTTTCCTGTCCTTACACGGAACTCTATCTCATCTTTATCGGCTTTTGCTAAATGTTAGCTTGGTAAATGGGTAATGGTGGTGATTTTGAGATGTTACTTCCGGGAAAGTATTGCCGTCTTGTGTTGCCATGTTGTTGGGAGTCCAGGATATTTCCGATCAGCCAGGACTTACAGGCTTCTATGAAGATAGGGTGGCCCACCAGAGGAGGAACCCTCTCTGTTTCAGAGGGCAGGGCCAAGTGATGGGAACCTGTCTGCTCCACATGGCGCAACCAGTGCTCAGTCAGAGCTTGGAGCACAGGAAGTACCCACCACGTAGGCCGACATAGGCTGGCCCATTACGAAAGTTGTGGCTGAGGCCAGAGGTGTACTTCAGTGGGAGAGCACTTGCCTAGCATGTACATGTGCGCGTGCGCGCGCGCGCACACACACACACACACACACACAGACACACACACACACACACACACACACACGCATGAGCGTGTGCCCCAGAAAGAAAGTTATGGCCCCTCTAAAGCACTGACAGAGAGCCCTCAGCCCAGAGGTCTCTCTCACCTGCTAGTTCTTCCTACCATAGCGCGTGGTTTCAGAGGGGGATGGATGTATGTTTACAAGTGTTAATTTATGTGTTTATTTTCACGTGCACTGATACATTACTTCCATTTATGGCAGATGATACTGGTTTCCTTTTTTTTTTTTTTTTTTTTTTTTTGGTATGAGGGATTGAACCCAGGAGCTTCCACTGAGTTACA